GGTTGCTGAACTCCTATTCTACCCCGGACCTTCTAAGCGCATACCCAGGTACCCAATTGTAAAGGCACTGGTGAATCGACACCAAGCAGTGCATGCGGGGTGCTCTTAATTCTTGAATATGACGGGACGGGTACAGCCACTGTTCTGATTTACACCAGCATACTTTGTCTACGGCTTTAAAGAGCAAAGACAACGGAAAAAATAAGAACGTAAACACTTTATCGAGTGTTTATCCGAACCCATGTGTGTTTCCTCATCATATATATATATTTGGAATTAATTTGGAAATGTTCGGGAGACACTGTACTCTTTAAATAAGTGTAACGAACTAAAACAAAAATGTCCCTAAATAAACTTAGTAAAAGTAGAAGACAGAGCCATAATTCAAATACATTCTAACTAGGGCTTCTTTCTCAAAAGGTAAACATTTCAAAAGTGAAACAGGCCTAATTGTGGGAGTGATTAAAGCGTTCGCTCGTCACGCCGAAGACCCGGGTTCGATTCCCGACATGGGTACGTGTGAAGCCCATTTCCGGTGTTCCCCGCCGTGATATTGCTGGAATATTGCTAAAAGCGGCATAGAACCATCACTCACTCATGTTCTGCCCCGGATCTTCACGGTGAGCAATATGACAGCCATATGACAGCTATATGACATCGGAATGCCAATACTCGATTCCAGACAAACCAATGAGTGATATTACGAACAACGATGGTGCGCTATCAACCAAGTCAACGCGCCTGACCATCCAACCACTGAGTCTCGCCGTACGACAAGAACAGACTGCTGTGAACCTAACTACGAACCACAACGGGGTGGATACTGTACTTTTAGTTTGGGTTAAAATAACACAACATGACAATCCACATACAAGCATATGTGTTTATTTCAAATAAAAACGATGTGTTTTGCGTCTGTAAATGTGTACATGGATGTGTTATACGAGTGAATCTCGAAACAGGAAAACTAAAGGTCAGTTAGTTTGGTACAATGACGGAACATTATACATTTGTTTATACATTATTCATCACTGGTTGAATTTTGGACTAAAGTCTAAGGATGACGTTTCACCACAGTCAGGTTACATGTCTCTTCCTTCAGGCATTTTGTGCCACTGCTTTCCACTCAAAGTGACAGACCCATGTTGACAGATGACATCTATCAGTTGATTACACCTTGGTGGAGGGAATGTTAACTTTATCTATGTGGGCGTTACTGGAAACTAATCTATAAAACGACTAAGCGTACTACAGTCTTGTTGACAATATATCACACAAACAATATACCATACAGACAACTGAACAAGGAATAATCATGCCCTTACATGAAATTACAGGTATGATCAATTATATAGTTAAACATCACATCATTACTTGATACGATCACGGCATTAACATATAACATATAAACATATTACATAGTGTTCCTGCACAAATCCAGAGAAATGAGAAGTAATTCCAACAATTAGTGGTTAAATCAAATAGGAAAATAGGTTAATGTGTAGCGAGTACAGGTATGTGTGTGTGTGTGTGTGTGTGTGTGTGTGTGTGTGCGTGCGTGCGTGCGTGCGTGCGTGCGTGTGTGTGTGTGTGTGTGTGTGTGTGTGTGTGTGTGTGTGTGTGTGTGTGTGTGTGTGTGTGCGTGCGTGCGTGCTTGTGCGCGTGCGGGCTAATACGTTTATAATTTTATAGAGCTAGCCCACTGAGATACCATGCCGCAGTTTAACCTCGCCCCCCCACTCAGACACAGTCTACTGACTCCGAGCCGACCAGTCCTTGTTTCATCCCCTTTTACCGAGTGCCAAAGCAGGGTAACAACAAGTACCATCTTTAACACCTTTTGTTGACGCGGGCGGATACTGAAGCCCCGATCTTCCGCTCTCTGGGCAGACGCTCTTTTCACTGGACCACGGATGCGGTCTAACAATAATCAGAAACATATTAACAAATGCATCAGAAGCAGAAAGTGACGTGGTGCGTACAGGTCGGAAAAATTAAGCCTTAATGTTTCATAAGAATATAAACAAATATATAATCACAATAAGAATATATACATTGCAATGAGAACACTTCAATTCAACAGCATGTTTATAGCTGTCTGTACCCTCCTCCCCCATGGTCCCTGTAATAGGTGTAGCTACATTCAAAATATGATAATCTTCCTTCCCTTTTCAGGGAGGCGACAGCAATACAAATACATAGCGAGGGAGAGAGAAAGAGAGCGAGAAATATTATTTTTTTGTGTCACAAGCACAAGCAGTCTTTGGTAAAAACATTTGACATAATATGTGTTCAAAACAAAGGTTGTACATCCAGGCTTATTAGGCTCATCAGACACATTAATTATACAAATGTATCAATAGTGAAAAAAACAACAACAATAATAATAATAATAATAATAATAATAATAATAATAATAATAATAAAAACCATATAAATAAATTAATAAATTGAATATTACATATCTACAATACTCATAAAAATAAAAGTGGCGTTACTTTAAAAAAAATCAATAATAGGCTTATGAGACACATTAAAATACAAATGCATCAATTGTGAAGAAAACATGAATAATAATACTACTAATAATAACATTTATGAAACATAAATAATAATAATAATAATAATAATAGAAAATATATAATAATAATAATAATAATAATAATAATAATAATAAATTGAATATTACATATCTACAATACTAATAAAAATAAAGTGGCGTTTCATTTACTTTAAAATTTCAATAATAGTTATAATGATAATGGTAATAAGCTTATAAAGTTTTATCTTATATTGTATAGTTCTTCTAACGCCTAACCTTCATTCAACAGTGTTGAACAGAAACGTACCCACGCTCCAACATACATGTTTCACAGCTAGATATGCGCATAGTAATTCTATTGATTTAGCTGTTGTATGTAACGTCGCCAGTCAATAATATATGCGAAGTACTTTCTCTCCTTCTAGGAGTTCATCAGTGCATGTCTGTTACAATATGACGTCATCATAATAGTATGATCTATAACCTTATTATTGATAGATTTACATAGTTGAATTTGTCGCCCAAGCGTCATTCTTGATTACGACGCTTTGGTCAATTATTAGAACGGATATCGTCGCGACAAAGCAACTCTCCGCGTGATATACTTGGGTTCAGTAAATTAGGTTTTGTGTTTATATGTATTGTTTTGTTATGATATGTTATGATTTAAGTATCTGTCGATATAAGGATAGACTTTCACCAGCTGATGAAGACAGTGCCTCACGTGAGAAAATGGAACTAGCTAACGCGAGGCACTGTCTACATCAGCTGATCAGCGTCAAGAAATACACCTTCAATGATGACTTTGTAGTCATATCATTATGATGACTGCACATTGTACTACCTTGATGTACTTCTGAAAGGAGAGAAAGTCATCCGCATAGAAAGAAGAGTATTTTGACATCGTAGTTACTTTATATACATGACGGGTGAAATCGTTTCCACCCGCGAGGATTACGGGATCGATCTTAGTAACAAATGCTGGTCATAAGAGGCAATCAAACTGATCAGGTGATCAGGCACGGTGACATGGGTTTATTGCGTTATCGTACCCCGACAGCGTGGATCGTAGCTCGCAATATCGATCGCTGGATTGTCTGGTCCCGGCTCGATTATATATATAATTTACCTATTCTAATCTACCTTTATATATATATATATATATATATATATATATATATATCCCGTCCGTCATATTGCTTGAATATTGATCAATGCGGCGTTTAACAACCAACAAACAAATATAAATGTTTCAAGAACTGGAATGAAGTTTGGAGATGACTTAATATCAACATAAACTTTAACTTAAACATGTTCAGTACACCCATTTGAGACTTCTCAAGAAATGCCACACGCGCTGTGTTTTATGAGTCATGAAATGACAATGCTGCGGAAAATCTTTATCGGTTTTGAATTGATCTTCGACGTCAAGGCAACGATGAATACCTCAGGCATTAAAAACAGATAATATTGAGATACTCAGCGTGCGGTCTGAGTGAGAGAGCGGGTGATACAACAGCAAATATCGAGGTAACTGAAGCGTAAAAGTGAAATATAAATGTATCGAATATTAGTCCCATCGTTCCTACGAAACTTTAAGATTTGTTTTGCAAGTTGGGCATTAAATCTGAAACACTCTTTATATTACGTTGATACAAATACTGATACAAAGACCCGAGCGATTGAATTAGGTCAGGTGTCCCAGGAGAAATGGATTTGTCGTTACAAAATTGCAATGTGACACAACTACTAATGTGTTCTGGAATAGAAATATGCATCGATTTTTCCGCTCAGGTATAATTGTGGTAGCACGTTAGTATTGGCGTTGACGCGGGTTCGACCGTATATACAGATCAACTTTAAATGATTATTTTGATTCTAAGAAACAAAAGCAATCTCTTTTTAAATCACGAATATTAATGATTAATTTTATGATGTAACAAAGTTAAATGTTATCTAAAAAAACACACGCTTGGACATCCCCTCCCCTCGATCCTTGTACATAAACACATATTTTCTAATTTCAGTGTTAAATTATTTCAAATAATGTTGTGTTATATCATTAACATGAGCCTAAGGCAAATATTAATTGTGTTTACATGATGGTGCTAGAGATCACAGGAAATGTTCATAAACATTTACATTAAACTGCATATTGATGAATATAATGTAGCTGTGAAGTGTATATCAAATCCTACACGCGAGAGTAAGTATTACCGAACGATAGGGTAGCTGTATATGACGCAATACAATTTAATAAACATATAGTCCGAAAATAAGATCACAGCGAACGACTATATTAAACCTAATAGAGTCTAATTGCTGCAAAAATATCATAAACTATTTTTTTATGTAAGCACTCTGCTTACGAGTGCTATTCATAATCGAAAACTATGCACTTATTGATTCATTTTCAGTATGACAATTATAATCGAGTAATATGGACGGATAATATCTATTTTCAGTAATCAACGGGTTTTTTATTGGCATAATCGAATATTGCACACTATTGCTAGTTTGAGTATTCTTAATGCAAAATGCGCCACGTCAAGATAACACAAATATAAGTTATTAAAATTAACACCAGTTGAAATGACCTATCCATGAAATACTATAGATCATAATACGACATCTAATATGTTTATATAGGCGGTCGGGTAGTCTGGTGGTTAAAGCGTTCGCTCTTCACGCCGAAGACCCTGGTTCGATTCCCGACATGGGTACAATGTGTGAAGCCCATTTCTGGTGACCCCCGCCGTGATATTGCTGGAATATTGCTAAAAGCGGCGTAAAACCTCACTCACTCACTCACTAATATGTTTACATGTACAAATTGTTGACATAATTAATAAGATGATAAATCGATGAGGGGTTTTACATTGTCAAAAATGCCAATCATATGCAAAGCAAAACTGCATCCAAATGTATATGAAGTCACTGTTTGATAAGACAGATTAATATGTCTCTCTAGACTAATTCCATGATTGGAAAGCTATAATTTCTCTTGGCTAGTTTGGTACTTTTCATCCTTCATGTGGAATAGCAGCGCTGGTTATTATAATATTATAAATCAATCCATGATTGCTTAGCTATAATTTCCCGTAGCTAGTTAGATACATATCATCTTAAACGTGTAAAATTAGCGCTGGTTATCATAATATTATAAGTCTTTATAGATAATGTGCATGATTGGTAAGCTATAATTTCGCGTAGCTAGTTAGATACATATCATCTTAAACGTGTAAAATTAGCGCTGGTTATCATAAAATTATAAGTCTCTATAGACAATGTGCATGATTGGTAACCTATTATTCCCAGTAGCTATTTATTTATTGTCATCTGACGAGGTATATCAGAGCTAGATATAATGAATTACTAATAAGTTGGAACCATTCAAAGACAGTTTATAGCTTTACGCTTTCACTGCTGGAGTGAACTGTGAATGGCCGTCCTTAGTCTGTTCGGGAGCATCAGGTGTTGGGCCAAGCTTCTTTGCAAATGCCGGGTGAATTCTGAAACAATTTGAAAACGCAGCGTTAGGTATTCATAGCGGAATCTTAACAAAAAACCGCATGTGAGTTTGAGTATAATATTGCGGCATTATTGAAAGCGGATTATCAGTTCTCAGTGACATCAACGCTATTCAATCAATTTATCTTTCATTAAGCACTTTAAGGCCGCGGGTCTGTAGTACATACAAACAATGCTATTCGTTGGAGGCAATGTATAATCATGGCCAATCGGGCTTCAGCGCATGCTTTTGTACTTCACTCTTTAATCAACACAATCTACAGCATATTAAAACACCAACTGTTTCTTTAAATTGAGTGCCTTTTGGTGTCACGTGGGGGCACGGGTGGCCCAGTCGTCTAAGGCGCCGCGATTCGCTGTGCAGAGTTGAGTCCCTCGGGCACGCCAGAAACCTAGATTGTGGGTTCGAGTCCCGGTTCGCCCCGATTATGTTTCTAGTTTTGTCAGCACCATATTCGTGCTCGTGGGTTTCACCGAGAGTGGAAAACGTCTGAGACCTGCATCACTTCGGGCTTTCCTCTCACATTAAGCTAACATGCCGTGATATAACTGGAATACTATTAAAAGCAGCGTTAAACCCAACTCACTCACTTACTCAATTGGTGTCACGTTTGTACAATGTGACGCCACTGACGGGGTGTTCCTGTAAGAATGTGTAGCCGGTACGTCGTGCCTTAGAATGTCTCATGAGACTGCTGGTAGGCATTGGTTATTGCATATCATCACATTACGTTTACTAGTCCGGTTTAGACTATTTACAGTCACCCATTGTGTCATTTTGTCGCACTGCAGTGAAGCATATGCAAATTATTATTCAAAGGAATTGATATGACTTGATAAGTCGTCTTGAACCTAAAGAATAACAATGTACTGCTCACAAAATAAGATAGGACAAAAACATAACAAAATTGCTAATAAATATGATAATTATAAATTCCTGTGTACCCCATGTTCCAGTAGCACAGAGGACTCGTTTCGATAACAAATAGATACAAGGCATGCATAGATATGAATCAGGGCGGAAGGATGACAGTGTCATGTGGGTTCCTGTGTTTGGAAAATGAATACACGATTTGGTATATTTATCGTTTCTTACATTTCCTCCAGTTACATTAAGCTTGAATTTGTCTAAAAACATCTTATATGTGCATCATTATGAGAAACATTCACATTTATTTTATCCCTTCCAATACATAGTCATATTATTCTATTTTAAAGTTTCAAAGATTTGCGTTTCAGGAGGCTCAGTGGCTTCAACTTGGACAGTTTTGTCTATGTGTGGCTGGGGGTTGGGGATGGGCGTACCTTAAGCTTCCACAATCAGCTGTGCAGTGTTTTCCATGTGTGGCTGGGGGTTAGGGATGGGATGAGGGAGGGGGATGGGGGGAGGGGAATGTGTGTGGGAGTGTTCTAAGTTTCCACAATCAGCTGTACAGTGTTTTCTACGTGTGGCTTGGGGCGAGGGGAGGGGTGGGGGAGGGCAATAGTGGTGGGAGTGTTCTAAGTTTCCACAATCAGCTGTACAGTGTTTTCTACGTGTGGCTGGGGGTGAGGGATGGGATGAGGGAGGGGGATGGGGGAGGGGAATGTGTGTGGGAGTGTTCTAAGTTTCCACAATCAGCTGTACAGTGTTTTCCATGTGTGGCTGGGGGTGAGGGATGGGATGAGGGAGGGGGATGGGGGGAGGGGAATGTGTGTGGGAGTGTTCTAAGTTTCCACAATCAGCTGTACAGTGTTTTCTACGTGTGGCTTGGGGTAAGGGATGGGATGAGGGAGGGGGATGTGGGGAGGGGAATGTGTGTGGGAGTGTTCTAAGTTTCCACAATCAGCTGTACAGTGTTTTCTACGTGTGGCTTGGGGCGAGGGTAGGGGTGGGGGAGGGGAATAGGGGTTTCTATGCAGAGTGTTAATAGGGATGGGAGTGGTCTACGTTTCGACAATCAGCTATACAACTTTCTCTATATTTGTGGCTCGGGGTAGGGAGATGGATGGTTCTAAGCTTCCACGATAGCTGTACAGTTGTGTGTCCCTCAGCCTGATTACGATCCCATTGGGGCCTTAGCATAGATGTTTAGTTTGTCAGCCTCATATATACACGTGAAATACGTCAACGCCCTGCCTCACCTTGTTCCCATTAAGATGACACGTCGTGGTGTCACTGAAATGCAATTCACATTTGCATCTGTTTTGATGATTTTTCAATTCAACAGGTGAAAGAAAAGTAGGTGTGCCACGGCACTGGGCGGTCCAGACAAGATATCTTTCAGAAATTCAGTTCACGCTTCGGACGTTCCCATCTACCCCCATCTCTTCATGATACGTTTATACATATGGATAACGTATTAAATGTATACACAATGATAGGCGTGTGGTATCTGCATACTACCGCGTACAAACAGTATTCATGCATTTTCACTTTCGTGTCACTTTCCTCCTGTGATACTATATTCTCAAAGTTTGCCGGCTTCAATATCTGACTTATTTGATATGATTAAGAAAAGGGTTTTGTCGTTTGTATTATCATGAATTACTATTACATTGATGATGTCAAACGGGCGTTACGGGGAAGGATATATTCAGGGATGTAAAGGTTTGATGGAAAATAGTTGAACGGTATTCACCCGAAAAAAGACGTTATCACGCGAGTGTGGGTTTGGATGGTAAACATCCTGTATTAAGAACACACCTTGCATTGAGCTAACCTTTTTAGCAAACTTTGGCGAGACAAATACAACGTGTTTATTCCGTATACAGGATAGTTTCCAACCCGAAGCACATACATGGGATTGCCTTTTATCCTATAATGTCAATCTTTAATTATGTCGTCATTAAATATCTCACACAAACGGTACCTAAGCATTGCAAGTTTTCCTTGGAAGATGTGCATTCATATATTACGTCACAAGCCCAGAGATAAGTCAGTCAGATTGTTTCAATTGAAAATTGTAGTTTAGTTTGTTTGTTTGTTTGTTGTTTAAGGCCGCAATCAGAAATACTCCAGCTATATGACGGCGGTCTGTAAATAATCGAGTCTAGACCAGACAATCCAGTTATTGACATCATGAGCATCGATCCACGCAAATGGGATACGGTGGCATGCATCAACCAAGTCAGCCAGCTTGACCATCCGATCCCGTTAGTCGCCTCTTACGACAAGCATAATCGTCTTTAAGGGCAAGCATGGGTGGCTGAAGACCTATTCAACCCGGATTGTCACGGGTCTTGTATTTTAGAGAGTGGCGTAACTACCGCATGGTAAAAAGACAATTGTCTGCACAAACTTGCTCAAGGTAATGTCTTTCCCTTTTTCATATGGAAGATACTTTAGTCTACGAGACGTTGTTCACAGTGTGTTTTGTCACATTACATTGTCATAACGTTGCGAAATGCAGTCCCACACGAAATTTATGCACCATACAATATGAAACAGAGTATTGGCAAAGCATCGTGAACACATGACACATTTTTGTGTTTTATTCTCAATGCAAAGAATAAAAGAGTGAATGGCTTGTGCTCAGCGCCGCTGTTAGGCGTTAACCACTTCGGTGAAACCCACGAGCACGGGTATGGTGTCGACAAACCTAGAAACGTAATCAGGGCAAACCGGGATTCGAACCCACAATCATAGGTTTCTGGCGTGCCCAAGTGATGCAACTCTGCACAGCGAATGTATAAACCCCCGTAAATTGGTTAATGTGTACAGTTAGGCATAATATGCACACGCGAATGTATGTATGTATATATATATATATATACATATATACCCCCACCCACCCCACCCCACCCCCGTATGTATGTGTATGTATACATACATACCCCGTGAGTCCAAAGATGAGCTGTATAATTTACTCAACCGGTTTCACAAATGTGATTTTCAAGAGTACAGTTATACCGTTACGCTGTGTAGGGCAGACGTACTACACATACAGAAATAAGTATTGTAGTAGCAGTAAAATGAACAACAATTGTATAAAATAATTCAATTTGTTTAGGCCATTTAATTTTGGTTTGAAAATAACTTTCTTTTATCTTTCTCAGTGCATAATTTTCACATTTGCAAAACAGGAATATAAGTGGTGTTTTATTCCCGGCACACTGAGCAATGTATTGACTGAGTGGGATACACCGACAAGAGGGGTCCCTTATTTGTTGTCGGTGGACCCTCACTCTCGCTCTTAGGGTGTCCCCTGTCTGTCCAATGTATTCGGCCTTGCATCCAGCACACTGTATGACATTAATCAAGTTTTCCGAAGCACAATTCATATTTTCATTGACATAGAGATTTTTGCCGTCTTTGAATGTAAAATAACAACATTGTAAAACATAAGGGCAAGTACCACAATTAGGCCTGTTACACTTTTTTACTGTTTGACTTCTGAGAAATAAGCCCCAGTAAGAATGTGTTTCAATTTTGGCTGTCTTTTACTTTTAATAGGTTTATTTAGGGACATTTTTGTTTTAGTTCGTTACACTTATTCAAAGAATATGGTGTCTCCCGAACATTTCCAAATATGTATATATGATGAGGAAACACACATGGATTTGTATAAACACTCGATAAAGTGTTTACGTTCTTAATTCTTCCGTTGTCTTTGCTCTTTAAAGCCGTAGACAAAGTATGCTGGTGTAAATCAGAACAGTGGCCCTAACCGTCCCGTCATATTTAAGAATTAAGAGCACCCTGCATGCACTGCTAGTTGTCGATTCACCAATGTCTTTACAATTGGGTACCTGGGTATGCTCTTAGAAGGTCCGGGGTACAATAGGTCTTCAGCAACCCATGCTTGCCATAAAAGGCGACTATGCTTGTCGTAAGAGGCGAGTAACGGGATCGGGTGGTTAGGCTTGTTGATTTTGGTTAATGCATGTCATCGATCCCAATTGAGTGGATCGATGCTCATGTTGTCAATCACTGGATTGTCTGGTCCAGACTCGACTACTTACAGACCGCCGTCATGTAGCTTGAATATTGCTGAGTGGG